TTGCGGTCCACTGTTTGGTTGTGATCAAACGTTGTACATGAGCTGCTGTTCATTCTCCTGGCTGCGGTCAGTGATTCACTTCTTGGGCTGCGGTCCACATGGGCCTCGTGTGCTATGACCCACCAAACTGGACGCGCTAGGCGGTGTGTAGGGCCAATAAGCCCGAGGAAGGCTGTAGTCCACCGAATGAGCAATCAGGCGGTGTGTAGGGCTACGGCTGGCTGCGATCCACCGAGTGATGGGCCAGCGGTGTGTAGGGTCGTAGTCTCCGAGGATCATCGCCCACCGACTGAGTCCCTCAGCGGTGTGTAGGGCTTGATCCGCTACGATCCACCGACTGTGCTCGTCAACGGTGTGTAGGATCCTAGTCCCCCCTTGTAAAGAGGATCAAAGTCCACCGACTGAGCGCGTCAGCGGTGTGTAAGACTGTGGTCCGCCGCTGAGTTCGTCAACGGTCTATAGGGTTGGTTGCGATCAACTCCCTTCATGCTGCGGTATGAGGTAGGGTGTTGTGGGGCCGTGTTAGTGCTATATGCACTAACCCTCATGTTCGGGGCATGCGATTAGTCCCGTGGCGCCACCAAAGTGTGCTTGTGTGATATGAATGATGATTGGATGATGATATGATTGATTTGAAAGTGATCTGTGACCTTAGATGCGTATTCTTTATGATGATTGTCTCTACTTAACTGTTATCATTGATTATTGTGCTTGCCCCTATTTGCTGAGTGTATTCCTGGTTTTAAAGCTAGAGTCTCCTAAGTATATATCTTCCTACTTCAAAATGGTTTTCCTATATATATATATATATATATATATACATATATATATATATATATATATATATATATATATATATATATATATATATTCAGGTCCGGCAGTGTCTTACGGTGCGGTTATTTCTTACGGTGCGGCAACACCAATAGTTCACCAAATATGCACCATCAACGTTAGGAAATACACCACACAAAACAGAGTCAACAGAGCCCTGCATCACCAAACACACACCATTAGGTGTGAGTAAAAACACCATACACTGTTCGGAAATACACCATTGGGGGTGGTGAGTTATATGGTGTGTTTTTTTGAGTCTGTGGTGTATTTTGTGATGTTTTATTACATTTCATTGGGGTGTGTTTTTATTACACTGTTGGTGCATATTGTTAACAGTGTTGGTGTATTCTGGAATTTGACCGCACCGCCGCACCGTAAGACCCCGCCGCATATGAGCGCTCTTCTATATATATATATATATATATATATATATATATATATATATATATATATATATATATATATATATATATAGGGATGCACTCAGGTGCGAATAAGTGCTCAGGAGGGAAATGCGAACAAATCAGCGTGCGACATGTGTCCAGATCTAATAACTTAAAAAAAACGCGGTGGCATTTTCGTAAATAATTGAACATCGAAGTGCAAGTAAAATCACTTACAAGTGCACCTACTTTCACCTATAAGTGCATGTAATTTTGCCTTGTTAGCATTCACTTTCCGCAAACATTCATGCACCTGGGTGTGCTTATAACTATATGTGCAACTATTTATAACTATTGGTGCAACTACTTATAACTATAGGTTCACCTACTTTCACCTATAAGTGCATGTAATTTTGCCTTGTTAACATTCATTGATCTGAGTTCAGCGGGTAGTAATACCCTTGAAAACCACTCGCAAACATTCATACACCTAGGTGCAACTACTTATAACTATGTGTGCAACTACTTAGAACTATAGGTGCAACTACTTATAACTATAGTGCAACTAAGTATTGATGCCCAGTGTAAATTTTTACTTACACCGATAATACATTTTACATGCACTTGTAATACATTTTACTTGCACTTCGATGTTCAATTATTTACGAAAATGCCACCGCGTTTTTTTAAAAAATCAGTGTTTCTCATCCATTAGATCTGGACACGTGGACGGACAGAATCCATTCCTATTTCGCGCCTGGGCGAGCCGTTCGCACCCGAGTGCAAGTCTATATATATATATATATATATATATATATATATATATATATATATATATATATATATATATATATATATATATATATATATATATACTGTATTTCAACGCGTTGGAGTGGGTTACCAGCATCATTCGCTGAACAGATATATTTGGCTTTCAGGCACCGATGAGTAAACCCGGAGCGCGCTAGAGATCCGAAGCATAGATTAGTTAGTTTCCCTTTCAGCCTGCGTGCCATGGTTATGTATTGACGTTTGCATTGAGGATTTTAGTTAGTTAGCCTGTGCATCTGAGTTCTCCAGCTCAGATGTGGCATAGCACCCCGCACTCTTATGTTTGGTTTTGAGATTTAATAAGGATTTACCTTCATTATATAAGTTTTAAAAGTTTAAAAATTTCGGGGTGTTACAATATCTATCTATATACTTATACTTAAAGCATCACGGTTATCTTGTTGCATGGATTTCATGACTTGCATGTTTAGCATAAAAGCTTGAAAAGAAGTATGATATTGTATTGTTGTTCATTGATCAACTTAATAGCATGAGTTTGCTTGTTAAATTTTAAGTATCTCCTTATCTATCAGTACGAGCCATGTTCAGAAATATCTATGAAAGCATGAGATTTATGATAAGTGGAGTACTTAAGAAAGCATGCCTATTTGGTAATTAGGTTACAAGCATATAGAACTTATTGATGAGTATGATATGAGTTATCGTTTCAGTATGTGGAAATATTTGATCTAAATGTGATTGCCAAATGTTTTCCAAAAGTATATCTATAGTACTTTACAAGGTTGAGTGGCATTATACTTAGCATTCGTGCTAACGGGTTGTTTTCTATTTGCTTGTTTGTTAACCCCTTTCAGGTGGACCCAGTGTTTGAGCGCGATCGAGATAGATTAGCGCGTACCTTAGAGTTTCTAGATGTTAGTCTAGACTCTATTTTATTGATGGATGTTTAAAACTCAGTTGTTAGATGTTTTGTAGACTGTTGAGCTTGACTCTAGACAGTACTTTCCTAGCATGTGCAGTCATCGTGTGTGGTGACTGTGGTGGTGACACCTCTTTTGGGATTTTTTTAAAGTTATTAATCGTATCTTTGCCTTGTTTAGTTATCTTTTAAGTTAAGTATTCGGGAATTTAGATTAAGAAAAGTGGGGTGTTACATACGCCATCCAATGAAGAGGAATATCAAGTTTATCTTTCATTTTTTCTTCAATAATTTGTATGATTGATTCATAGTTCCTTGGGAGATCGGACAAAGCATGCTTGATTTCCTCTTTTGTTCTCATAATCTCACTATATACAAACCCCATTTAAAGCTTCTTATCACAATCTACAAGTCGTAGCACTCTCACCAACGGTGCAAAAATCTTCAAACATGCCATCACACCTTGCCAAAATCTCATACTCAATATGGTTGAGTATGCTAACTTTCCATTAACCATCTTAGAAAATTTGCATTCATTGTGAAGTAAGGAATGAAGAATCAAATCTAATTACACCGGGCCTCACTATGTCTCTCTTCTTTGTGAATTGTCTCATCAATGCTAAAGTCTTGTGAAAAACTTTGCTTGATCAAGAACCTTCTTGTACCTTGGGAGACTTGCAATGCTTTCAAGCATAAGATTTATGGTGTGAGTGGCACAAGTCCAAAAGATGGTTTGGTTTTTTTTTTTTTCAACAACTTTGATGCTCCCATGTTGTTTGAGGCATTATCTGTGACAATTTGTACTACATTTTTCGGCCCCAACTTGTTGAATGCCATGCTCAACAAACTGATAAATGTAATCACTTGTGTGTGCATCAATTGAACATTCCTTTGAAGAAAGGAAAACGGTGCCCAAACTTGGATTGACACATAAATTCATTATACTTCTTCTTTTCCTATCGGTCCAAGCATCCGTCATTATTGAGCACCCATTTAGCTTCCATTCCTTTTCATGTGTCTTTAAAGACTCACGAACTCTATCAACTTCTTTTTTCAAGTATAACTCACTCATATCAAATCTACTTGGCGGTTCAACCCCGGACCAAATTGTCCAATTGCTTCTAATATCAACTTGAAGCTATCTTTTTCAAATGCACAAAAAGGAAGAGCGGCTTCATATGACCATTTACAAATATATTCCTTCACTCGGTTTGTCATTTCCTTTCAATAATGCACCATCAATCCGTTGTTGTTGCAATGCCTTACCTAAATTTATTAAAGATTCCAGATTGATGTGATTTGCAAATTTATCCATTGGGCCAAGTGGACGATGTAGCTTCATAGCTCCAACGCCTTCAAGAGTGTCTTGCAACTCATCAACATCAATTCTATCATCAATATTCATCTCGGCTCTTAAATTTGCATAACCAACTTTCTTATTTTTCCTTCTCATCTTTGTTTCATTGTGCATTTCTACACTTAAGTTGGTCATCTTTTGTAGATTTAGAACATGGAGTAACATTTCCTTGTATATGACCAACATGTCTTTTTATTCTATACACCTCACCAGACATAACTTTTCCACACAACAAACACTTTACTTTATCCAAAATTTTCCCATTAACTAGAATAGCATAATCCCAACCTATATCATTTGATTTCCTTTGAACTGTGGATGTTTCAGAAGATCCAACACTTTTGAGTTACCGAAGCACTTAATGAAACCATTATAAATTTATAAACTTGACAAATTAGGCAAATGGCAATTCAAGTTTCAAGTTTCAATTTGTCACAATCAATGCAAAAATATACACAAATATTGCATAATTCAAGATTTCAACTTTCAAGTATTCAACTTATCTACAACGCCAATCAATTTTTTTTCTCCATTTCCCTTCAACACTACCATTTTACCATACCATATGCTTTCTAAATTCGGAATCACACTCATTTATAAGGGTCTTAATGGGGATGTTTGATGCTTAATTGTGATCCTTTGTGGTTGATTTATGGTCTAATATGCATGAATGTGCTAATGTATTGCAAAGCTCTACAGTGTCTTGTACTTTAGTGTTTGTGAAGGGAATTGAGCTTAAAGGAAGACATATGAGCATGAACCGGAGCATCCAAAGAAGAGAGCAAAGCGGAGCATCGAAAGAGAGCTTGTCCACGATCATGGAATGCTCGTGGATAGAAAACAGTGAGGTCCACGAGTGTGATCCGCGATCGTGGAACATTCGTGGTCTGGGAACAGTGAGTTCCACGAGCGGGATCCACGTACTCATATACTCATATAAAAACTTGTGGTTGGGCAGGTTGAATTTTACAACAACACTACGAAAATTTTGATTTTCTCTATACTCTCTCGTAAGCTTCCAGAAAATCTTCTCCCAACTTTTCTAAATTCTGAAGTGCTCCTTTATTCAAGTTTGCCGAAAACAATTGTTGGTTTTAGGGATTTTGGGCCCAGGGAGGTCCAACACAACCTTGGTTGGTGGATTCACCTTTCAATAAAGCCTTTAAAGAAATGGAAAGGAATGAACAAAAGTAGAAAAAAGTGTTTCTCTATTCTCTGGGCATGGACTCGCCCCTTTCATATTCTCGGAGGGGCCTTTATATAGGAGGCCCTTCTTTAATTCGGCTTTAAGTACATTAAGGGGCCTTAAGTGCTAATTACGTCGCAGGGCCGTTGGGGCTGCCGTTACTGGGCCTCCCAACGGCTCCTTGACCGAGCTCTTCAATGTCGTCATAAATGACGCGCAACGGCTCTTTACCGATCCGGCCGAGTCCTCGTTACGACCTTGGGCTCGGACCGACTCCTAGACTCGGCCCTAATCTCTTCCTGCCCTTGTTATTTATTTGGGCTCCCACCTCTTGGGCCGTATTTTATTCTTCCTGGGCTTCTTCATCCTTCTTAGACCTCTCCCTTCCTCTTGGGCTTTTCCTTTTGCACTTATTCTTCTTGGGTCGGGATCTACACCCCATCAACTAGTCCCTCACTTTCCGATATCCGGTCCTCTAACGCGGATATCGGAAAGTAGAAATGTTTATTTCCTCCATCCGCAAATCTTCCCAATCAATCGCCCTTAATCGGCCGAGTAACGCCCAAATTCCTTGGGATTTTCCTGATTCGCTGGGGCCGTTTAGATTCCTTCATCATCCCTAGAGACCCTATAAATAGCACCCTGCTCCTTGTGTCTTTTCCTCACTCCTGTTGGTCAACCATGGGTCGTTCCCCTATGAAAGGGAAGAAAATTGACTTCGGGTCGCCGCGTCGCCCCCTTCCTTCTAAGAGGTCGAGACTGGAGAAAGAGGGCAAGAAGAAGGCTCCTCGTCCTTCCTCCAGAAGGCATCATGTCAGCACCACCTCCTCTGTTTCCCAGGCGTCGATTGAGGCTCCGTCCTCTGTGGCAAACACTCAATCCTTGGCCGACCCCCCACCTCCGACTGTGGCTCGAGTCACTGCACAAGACGGATCGTTCGTGGAGGTGGCGGTTCCAGAGCACTGGCCTTCAAAATGACTTTCACCATCCCTCTCGACGACTTGGACGGGCCGGCGACGGATCTGATGACCGATGCTGATTTCGCCTGCTACCTAGAGCTGTATCCGGATGATGAGGCGCCCATCGTTCCGCCTCTTATGCCGGCCTTCTGGGATTCGTTCTGTCCTTCTCCTAACGGACCATCGATGGAGATGTTCTTTAAAGACGAGTCTTCTTCCCCCGATGAGTGATTGTGTCGACCGGGGTTTGTCGGCAACGTCGAGTGAAGTCTTCAAGGGAGAGATGTAAAAGGAACATATATATATTTATCTGTTGATGTAATAAGTTCCTTTCTTAATGTACCGCCTCTTTGAATAATAATAATCCACGTAACTTTCTCCTTTTGGTATCCTCTTTTTCACTCGACTGGCTTCACCAGTCGGCCGATCTCCGAGTCGGCTTGACGTCTTATCCCGAGGTCTGGCAACCGTTATCCCCTTAGTATCCCTGAGAGATCTCACTTTTCCAGATAAAGTGCGAATCTTTGTTCTTCCCAAGCGGATTCGATGGAACCATTCTCTGACAGAGATTCCTGAATATTGTCCAATCCAGCCCGAGGGTGGCAGTTACGATTCCCTTCCGTGATCTTCGCTTAGATATTTGCCCCCCTTTAAGCTATATAAAGGGGTTCCTTTTCCTTTATGTTCTTCACCATTTTTTACTCCTGCAACTCTGATCATGAGTTACCGAGCCGGCGATCGTCGTTTCTCCATCCGCCAAAAGGAGCATGCTCGACTGGAAAAGCTAAGGCAACAGAGGCTGGCCAATGGTGGCCGCTTGGTGGGCGACTCTTCCTCAGATCCCATCGTGGTGCCGCCGGACATGTTGGACTTGGTTTATGTGGACTGGTCTGAGCGGCGAGCGAAGCCGATAGTGGAGGAGCCGGCGCTGGACGAGGAAGAGGTGTGGGAGGTTCCTCCTCTTTTTCGGGTGGCCATGTCTCCCAGCGCCCTTGAGAGGCCCCTCCAAATGATCGATGATAGGAAGCCGACCGTTTATTTGGACGACGTGCCGGAACCGGATCCGAGTCCGCCTCCTTTTCGCCCTCAGCTATTCCTAGAGGGTCCACCTCCGTCTACCCAGCGAAAGAGAAGAATAGTTCTTGACTTATCGTTTCATATTCCTCTTTATCTTGTAACGTGGCCGAGTCGTGGGCTTTTATCTATCCTTGATCAATAAAATTGTCTTTCTTCATTTCTTACTTGACTTAGACTGTCACCAAACTATACTTTTGTTGCGACGTGAAGTCGGCGTCGACTCCTATGTCGACCGATGGACTCGGCCGGGTTTTTCACTCGCCTAGAGTTGCTTTATGTCGACTGATGGGCTCGGCCCAACGATCACTCTTCGGATGACCTGGCCTATATCCGGGCAGCCCAGTGGTCATGGCCAAGGATGGGCCTTGTGTCAGTAGACCGGGTCATCTCAACCCATCCTTGACCTAGGGTTTACAGACACGCCATCTTAGGCTAACCCTAGGTCCAACCGTCGTTCTGCTTTCCAATGGCATTCATTGCAGCCGTCCCATCACATTCCATCGACCCTCTCTATTCTCCAATAAGTGATCGACACGTGGAAACCCCTTGGGATTCTCCCAAGTTTAAATACGTCTTCTTCCCTCTTTTACGTACTTCACCCAGAAATTCTGCAAAGAAAAAACCTCTAAATCGAGCTCAAATTTCTCCTCCTTGTTCTTTCGCCGGAGCCCTTCCAGGTTGGTGCCTATGTCTTCTTCTTCTTCTTCTTCTTCTTCTTCTTCTTCTTCTTCTTCTTCTTCTTCTTCTTCTTCTTCTTCTTCTTCTTCTTCTTCTCGCCGCTCAGCGGGATCTTCTTCTTCCACTTCCTCCTCCTCAACTTCGTCTTCTTCCTCTTCGACTCGCCGTATGGAGATCCCGTTCGATCCTCCATCAGCGTCTTCGTCTCAGCCGACCCCCTCTTCTTCGAGGGCGGTTACTCCTTTGAGCCCGGCCCCTCTTACGACGGTGGCTGCTCTTCCCGACGGTTCCCAACGGCCGAGGGGTAAGTTTGACCCCATATCCCGGCCGGCGGGGTCTCCGTCATTAATCACCGAGGCGGACCTCGATATGACCCGTTTTCTTTTAGGTCCTTCGGCCACCGTCCTTCCACCAGAAGGCCGGTCGATTTACGACCCGCCGGAGGGTTGTGTCGGCATTCATTTGCACTCGGTGGCCTTTGGCTTTCGAGTGCCACCTTCTCCATTTCTCTCTCTCTTCTTTCGCCATTACAACTTGGTCCCGGGTCAACTGGTGCCCAACTCGCACCGCCTTCTTGTTTGCTTCATCACTCTGTGTCACTGGTGGTTTTGCAAGCCTGACCTAGATCTCTTTAGGTGCTTGTTCATGGTGAACAAGGTCGGGTCGCATTCCCCAAGGTTCGTCCAAGTCTCTGCCTGTCCCGGCGGTCAACTCTTTGAGGGTCTTCTAGATTCCATAAAGGACTAGAAACCCTATTTCTTCTTCATTCGCCCTTCCTTTTCTACCTTCACCTTCCCCACCATGTGGCCGGCTGCTCTCTTTAAACCCTGCTCCCAGCGCGCTGTCTTCACCACGGACGCGATCCAGGGCGCCGAGTTCTTGAAGGGCATGGGGCCCTATTCCGTCAAACGTTGGTCCCAGGTATGGGCCATGGCGAAATGGGGTCTTCTGCCAACTTGGGTGGCCACCATAGGTAGCCTTTCATAACTCCCTCTCTCTCTTTGCTTTCATTCTTTGCTTTCTACTAACTCTTCGACTCTGTGCAGGCCCTTACGACTCCGACTCCACCAGCTCGAACGAAGCCGAAGCTCCAACACCAGCCATGGCCGACCGTGCTGAAAATATGAGACGCCGACTGTCACAACGGTCGACAGGTACTCAGGCAGTTTCCTCCTCACTCCCTTCTCCAGCTCCCCGGGCGACTCCAACTCCACCAAGAAATGTGGTGGACCTTTCGACGTCTCCGGCTACCTCTCCCTCCAGGCTTCCGTCTCCGGTCCCAACGGAGAGCCCAAGCTCCAAGCGTCCGCTGGAGCAGTCGGATGCACCTCCCTCTAAGAAGATCCGGCTGAGCTTGGAGCTCGAGGAGGACGCCCAGATATGGCAGGGAAACTACTCGGTCCAGAATTGGGCCGAACACATTCTCCTCCCCAAGGACCTGGAGGCGGTGAACAAGATGCAGGATGAGTACATCCTGGAGGCCTCTCTGCGCCAGTCTTACCGGGTGAGTTCTCGTTGACTTCTTTTACCTTTTACTTTCTTCTTGCTTCCTTGATTTTCCCCTAACATACCTTTTTTTCAGAACCTCACTTTCCAGCTGGAGTTGAGGAAGCGGATACAGGCCCTCAAGACAACAATGTAGGCCCTCGGCCACAGTCTGCAACAATTAGAGGAGGCCCACCGAGAAGAGCAAGCTGTCTTCGTCAAGGCAAGGGAGGTCCACACGGCCAAGCTTCCAGTGGGAGACGGAGCGAGACAAGGCCACCGCTGCCACCGCTACTGCCGTCGCGGATTACAAGAAGTCGGCTGCCTTTGAGGCAGACGTGAAGTTGGCGGTCGAGGGTCGTCGAGAGGTGCTGGCGACTCCGGAAGGAGACGAGTACCTGCTGG